CAAATGTTGAATAATCGACCTCCGATGGTGGATTTTTCGGGCTCAGTTTCACCAATTTCAACCTTATTAAACACATCCAACAATGGCTCCAACCCAAACAACGATTCTTACTTCGATTGCTCAAATCAATGTGTTCACAAAGAACACAATATGGTGGCTGCAATGAATCACCAAGAATAGAGGAAGACAGATTCAATTTTAAGGCTTAAGAGAGAAAACAAGAGAAAACATCGGCGGGCTCTTTCCATTTGCACACACACGCGGCTTATTCAACAATGAGGCCAATATATAGGTTTAGGGTGTAATAATATAGTGGGCTCATGGACCAACTAATGGTTAAAGGGGGCGGAACACAAATTGAGTCATCCAAAAAGTAAATGGACCGTGAGCAACATTTACTATATTAAGTTGCTTCAAACGACTTTCAAGTTGTTTTTTCGGATTGACTCAATTAAATAGTGTGTTAATAAATATTTCAATCATCGATCGAAGCCTATGAAATCTAATCCGACTATCCGACAGTGTTTAACATCATCGCCCGGGATTATTGGATATCAAACCAACAGAACCAAACAAGTTCATGAACATCAGAATTTGCCCAAGGAAATTGAAGTCAAAATGTAAATTGAAGCTCGTGGTCCTTTCTATTTTTTTTTTCCTCTTTTGATTTTGTTTCTTGTTTAGTATGTATAATCTGAATAATGTGTGCTGGTTTGTTTTCTTCTCTTGTTTAGTTACGTTTTTATGAGTGAGAAAAACCTTCATTTATTTATTTATTATTTTATTTTTTTTAGAATGATGCATGGCAAGAATGAGCTCATGTTACTTAATTCGCGCAATTTATCATGGCCTATCATATAGATTTTGATCCGTGGCAACTTTAGAGGTTTCTTCTCGCCTTAGAAAACATCGGAAAAATAACAACTAGAGTACGAGTAGGGTTGAAAGAAGAAAAAGAATATGATAGAGGCTAGGTTGATGAATGAATAAGTACTACAATATGGCCGTGTTTGGTGGGGATTCAAATCAAATTTTTAGTAAATTTTGGGAAAAATTGCAGCAGAGGCTCCAAACCTTTAAAACATTAACAGACTTTTCCCAAACATTTAATTTGTTGCAATCGTCATCCCAAACCTTTCGAAATATTGTGATGGAGGCCCTTTTGGACATTTTAATCCAAATGTCTGTTAGTTGACTAAGTATTTTGACTCTAACCATATTTTTAATATTTTTGAAAGGGTAAAATAGTAACTTCTATTTATTACATTAAAATACCCCAAACCCAAACCCAAAATCAATTATCACCACCTCCACCTCCACCTCCACCTCCACCTCCACCTCCCCCTGATATGCAATGACCCGGAAAAGACTTCATATTTGCATATATATCATCGACTCAGCTTTGTCAAAACTTGGCGTTGCTTAAACAGAATCTTCATGCTTCTTTCTTTGAAAAAATCACTAATTTTTATTCTATCTATTGCATTTACACTGGCAATATAGATCTTCATTTTTTCTCCTTTATCTATGATTATGTATTCATGAGAAAACTGAGATATTTGATCAATTGAAAATTAAAGATCTACCAAGAAATGGGACCATCGGAACTGAGTTTGACTTGTAGACAATCGGGGCGATGAAACCTTATATTCCTAAAACGATTAGTGAATTTCTCGAAGAAGTTTCGTTGATTAGTAACTCATCTGAGGGGAGGTGGAGGTGGAGATGGCGGTGACGGTAATGGATTTTGGGTTTGGGGTGGGGGTGGGGGTGGGAGGAAGCAGACGACGACTGGCTTCTTTTTTTTTGCTATTTTTTTTTCTAATTTAATTTCTCACTTATTTTAATGTAATAAATGGAAGTTACTATTTTACCTTTTCAAAAATATTAAAATTATGGTCAAAATCAAAATTATTAGTCAACTAACAGACATTTGGATGAAAATCGTCCAAAAGGGCCTCCGTCGCAACGTTTCGAAAGATTTGGGGTGATGGTTGCAACAAATTAAAGATTTGGGAAAAGTCTGATAATGTTTTAAAAGTTAAGGGCCTCTACTGCAATTTTCCCTAAATTTTGAAAAAGTTCATGAGATATACGGTTGAAAATTAATTGGAGATTTCATAAATTAATGTGTGGTTAAAATTACGGATTGATTTTAACTTAAATTAAAATTCGAATTTTAAATCTTACCAAATTTGGCTATATGTGTGGAAAGTTTTGTTGTACCACATTAGATACTATCATGCACAAGATTTTAATTTCTTTTTCTTTGGTATTAATGTTAAATTTAAAGCGCCTTACCAGATATGTATTGCTTTTTTCATTATTAGATGACAAAAAATATATGACACTAAATATAGGAACCAACCTCAAATTTATTGAAAAAAAATACGTGATTTATTATTTGTTTGACATTAAATATAAGTTGTTCATTATGATTTTATTTGAAATAAGCTTCAATTTACATACTTTATTTTCTTAGTTAATTTAAGTGGGCTGAGGTAATGCAACTTAATAATATAATCCTTACCCTTTTGTAAAAGGGTTAAACCCTAACCTTAAGGGTCCCCCACCACCCCTACCCTGGAGTATCGTGAGGGAGGTAAATCCTTACCCTTTTGTCCTTTTATGAATGATTGACATTATCTTTCTAGTAAACAACTTTAATCTTTACTCTCTTAAAAGAGAGGCTTTCTTTACTATTCATTCATGTCACACTGGTTTTCACACTTGCTCGATTTACATATCTGGTTTTGCTACAGTTGGTTGGTCCCCAAAATGAGCCACGTTTTCTTTTTGAGACCGCATAGTCTGCATCTTCTTGCTTTTGTATTATCTCACATCCACCTCCTCTCGTGAGGAATAATTAATGTAGTTGATTTTTTTGACTTATTGAAGTGTAGTTGATTTTGTTGACTTCTTGAAATCGGAAAACGTGCATTCCCGAGGTATATAGCAAAGTTATTAGATGATTTTCCTTTTTCCCACATAATTGAGATTTCAAAAGTAACATTATACCCTCTATTTAATAAACAATTTGGCACAATTACCCTTCACTTTCTAACTACAGACTAATTTATATACCTATATTAATGTTAAGGGTGATATGGGAATTAAAAAATATAGTTGTCCAAACATTAATGAATGGGACCCACATTTGAAGTAAAATGTCGTGTGCTGTTTATTTTTTTTTCTTACCACATAAATTTCGCACAATACTTTTCTATCAATTCAATCCTTTTCTTTCTAAATTCTAGCCATTGTTTTGCAGAACGAATTCTCCTCAAAATCTTGTTTTCTCTGAAAAAAATGTCGTCCTTCTACCATTATTCGCTTTTGCCTTTAGCCTAATTCGTATTTTCTCGTCATCAATAGTGGAGAAGAAAATTCTGGAAGTTGCAACAATTATTTTGGGTATGTTCTTCTTATAATTTTTCTTTTTTGTGTATTTCTTTTTTTATTTTCTTACTATTTATTTAAGGTACGTAGTTTTCCTTTGTTTGTAGATGAAAATCTAGCTGGGTTCGTCTTCCTTTAGCTCCATATAAGGTATGTTCTCGTTTCTGTACATGCATGAAAATATATCTACGTTTACATATTCATGGTTCATGAGGTTGAAGGTCATGAATTTTCGCCGTTTCGAAGCTGGTGAGGAATCAACTATCATCATTCATAGCCAACTTCAACAATTTCGAATCACTATTTCACTCCATTTTTCATTCAGGACCCACTGATGATTCACCCAGACGAATCCTCCTAGCACGGGACGCAAAAAAAAAATGTTAATAGAGGGTGAAAATTATATAGATGTGTACATACACATTTACATACATACATGTTTACGTGTGTGAGGAGAGGGGATTACTTTTCTTCGTATAGAATATATTTTATTTAATTAGTATATAATAATAAAATAGTATCTGCCTTTACTATAAGAGAGGAGATTGTCCAAGTTATTGTTTATGTTTGGCACAATTTCACACGTAACCAGTTTTTTCCTTTAGTATGTAGACTAGAGATATTTTTTTCTTATTCTTATCTAATATGAAAATTATTTAAGTTGAAAACGCCTAACTTTGTATGAACTTTAAAAATTCTTTAAAATATATGTGTTGGGGACATGTAGATTTATATTAACTTTAAAGATGAATAAAATTTGAATTGAAGGCGCCGTGTAGTATTTAGTGCCATGCCTTGATTTTTTATAAATTGATAGATGACCGTGGTAGATAGAAGTCTTGTCTAAGTTAAATAGTTATAATGGAAGTGTATTTATAGGGAAATTTATTCTGTAGGTTGCTTTGAATTAGAATTTCGAATGTTCCAAGAGAGAAGCTAGAGTACCATACTTTTTCATTGAAAAAGATACTTTGTTAGAGCTTATTAAGGCAGAAATTCATAGATGGAAATCTTTTATTACTTGCTGCCTGAATTCTTTGTGCATTTTCAGTCGTCCACTTATGAATTTATTAAGTTTATGATTGTTGATAAATTACTTACATTATAACTTTAGAAATAGATTGCATATGTAGGTTGATTGGGTGGAAGCAAAACCACTAAATTTATAGATGAAAAATATTTTCTTTTTAGAAGTCTTTATTTTCTTACTCTACGGTAGTAGTATAGCAAAAACTTTTACAACATTACAATAGTATTTATGTTTTTTTTTTTTAAAAACTATTAATTTTACAAGAATTATATAAAAATGTTAATCTTTTATTCCTGCTTTTACATCATATAAGTCTTATTAAAATTTTATTTCATCAACAGTTCAGTCAACAATGTTTATATTTATTGCTATTGCTTTGAAGTAAACAATTTTTTTATTAAACTTCAGCTTTATGCATGTTTTTAATGTTGTGAGAGTCTGGTTCACTTGTGTCTATCGAATATTTTTTCTATTGTGGAAACTTAGTAGTATTATTAATTTTTTAATTATTTCATTCACTAAAATGAAAATTCTTTGCTTTCGTTAAACTAGAGATGAAGATCTTTTCTCCATGGATTCTTCGAACATTGATAGTACTTCTCAAAATGCAACTGAATCGTATACTGCTTTTATTCGCCAACAACAAAACCAAAGACAGGCGAATAGGAGGAATCGAATTCAAAGTCCACGCGTTGATCGTCGTAAAAGAATAAATAATTCCACGTTGCATCCTAATTTTCAGGCTTCTACTTCAAATCAAGCACGTACTAATATTGTTCATTCTAAAGTACGAGGGATTTCTAACCTATTAAACATACCTACTAATGCATATGTATTACCGACATGGAACTATTGTGAACATTGTGGTGCGCGAAAATTTTATAGAAAAACTAAAGGATTCTGTTGCTCTGATGGAAAAGTTAAACTTTATATGCCTGATTCACCAACTGAATTGTATAATTTATTTACTTCTAAAGAACCTGAATGCATGGAGTTTAAGAAAATTTCACGTGGATATAATAACCATTTTGCATTCACTTCATTTGGTGTAAAGTGCGATACAGACCTTTTTAGAGCATATAAAGGTATTTACACATTCAGAATCCAGGGACAAGTATATCATTATGTAAATCAACTTCTGCCGAAAAATAATCAGCCTTCTTATATGCAATTATATTTTTATGATACGAATAACGAAGTTGAAAATCGTATGAAAATTTCAGAAAATTTTGTTGAATCTACTTTGATCATTTTGATTGAAATCTTGAAAGTAAATCCGTATAGTAGATTCTTTAGGTCTTTAAGTAATATGACCAATTTGCACGATAATCGAATACAAATAAGATGCGATCCTGGACTTGATCAAAGAGTCTTCAATACTCGTTCAGCATCTCAAGTAGCCGCTGTATGGGTTGAGGATGATGACAATGCAAATATTCGTGTTCGTGATATTACTATATATGGTCATTCTGGTGATTCACATAAGGTTCACCATTATTATAGTTGTTATGATCCTTTGCAATACCCTTTACTTTTCCCATTTGGAGAACCTGGTTGGCATGAAGGTATTCAGAGATACAAAAAAACATATTTTGAAACTCAGAATTTACCCGATTGCGTAGCTTTTCCTAGCACAGTAAATTTGGAAACTAAAATCATTGCAAAAGAGGCACAAGGTTTGCTATTAAACTTTTTTATATGTTTACTAATTCATATAAATTAAATGCTCCAAATGGGTGTAAGATGCATTTTTTTTATCCTTATGCAGTATTCAATGGAATGAGGAAACGATCACAGGTTTCTTGCCGCGAGTACTATTCTTACAAGTTACAAATTAGGCCTTCTAGTAAGTCTGTGTTGCTTCATACTGGTAGACTTTTTCAACAATATATTGTAGATATGTATGTTAAAATTGAAACTGCCAGATTAGACTATTTTCGTAGCAATCAGAAACAAATTTGTGCTGAACTTTATTAAGGTATTGTGGATAGTGTTCAAAATGGGGAAACAAGAGGGTCAAAAATTGGAAAGAAGATTGTTCTACCACAAACTTTCACATGTGGGCCTAGAGATATGCTTAAAAGATATTTAGATGCAATGGCTGTCGTCCAACGTCATGGAAAACCAGATATATTTCTAATTATAACATGGAATCCAAATTAGCCAGAAATTATGCAAGAACTCAAACACAATGACGAAGTTCAAAATCGACCAGATTTAATTGCACGTATATTTAGAGCAAAATTGGAAGAGTTAAAGAACGATTTATACAAAGAAAATATTTTTGGTTCAGTTGTTGCTCATATATACATGATTGAATTTCAAAAAAGAGGGCTCCCTCATGCCCATTTATTGTTGATTTTCAATTCTGCCCAAAAAATTTGTTGTGCTGAACAAGTTGATATGATAGTGTCATGTGAAATTCCCGATAAGAATAAACACTTGCATCTTCATTCTGTAATTGCAAAACACAATATGCATGGCCCTTGTGAAAACCTTAATCCAAAAAATGTATGTATGTTGACAAGTAGTGGTTGTAAAAATAAATATCCTAAGGATTATTGTAACAGTACTATATTTGGTGATAATTCATATCCCTTGTATAGACGTCATGAAAATGGTATTTCTATTAAAGTAAGAGGCCAAATGTTAGATAATCGGTGGGTTGTACCAGATAATCCTTATTTAAGTGCAAAATTTGACTGTCATATTAACGTTGAAGTATGTTCTTCTATTAAAGCAGTAAAATATTTGTACAAATATGTGTATAAAGGACATGATCGTATTAATTGTTTCGTAAGCAGAAATGAAGCAGATAAGGAAATTGATGAAATTTTTGCTTATCAATCAGTTTGATGGATATCTCCACCTGAAGCTATGTGGAGAATTTTTTTTTTAATTTGTTAGAAATTTATCCTACTGCTTACGCTTTACAACTTCATATTAAAGATCATCAGCACGTAACTTATAATAGTAAAGATGATTTATCTGTTATTATTGGAAATGAGTATACGAGAAGAACAATGCTAACTGAATTTTTTCGGATGAATGAAGTAAATGAATTTTCTCGAACGCTATTGTATCGAGATTTTCCAACACATTTTGTGTGGAATGCAACTCGAAAAACTTGGACTCCCAGAAAACAACACATTGTTATAGGGAGAATCGTGACAGTTAATCCATCCGAAGGAGAACGATATTTCCTTCGTGTTCTTCTGAATCATATTAAAGGTCCAACATCATATGACAGTTTTAAAACTTTAAATGGAGTAACAGTCAATACATATCGAGAAGCAGCACTTTTACATGGTTTGTTAAAAGGAGACAACCATTGTGAAGAATGTCTATCTGAAGCCATTATTTACAAAATGCCCAGTTCTTTAAGACGTCTTTTTGCTACACTTCTTACACTTTGCAACCCTAATCATCCAAAGTTATTGTGGGACAGATATAAAGCCTATATGATTGATGATTATGTACATCGAAACATATGTGTTAAAGATGCTTAAATACAAGCTTTGGAAGACATCAATTCTATATTAGAATCGTCAGGAAAAAATGTAAATGATTATGGAATAGTTTCATTCTTTGTAAATATAGATGACACTCAAAGATTGGCAAGAATGATTGCAGAGGAAACAATGAATTTTAATATTCAACAAGACTTTAATTGTGTAGAGAAATTCAATAAAGAACAACGATTTGCATATGATAAAGTTATGGAAAAAGTAAAAAATGACTCAAGTGGTACTTTCTTCATTGATGGTCTAGGGGGAACGGGGAAGACTTTTTTATACAAAGCACTTCTAACTGCTGTAAGAGGTCAACATTTCATTGCTTTGGCAACAGCGTCCTCTGGAGTCGCTGCGTCTCTGTTACCTGGAGGTCGCACAGCTCATTCAAGATTTAAAATTCCTTTAGAAACAATTGGTGAAGTGAATTGTTTTGTAGCAAGCAATCAGCTTTAGGAATAATGTTGAAAATGTCTAGGTTAATAATTTGAGATGAAGCGCCTATGGTAAATCGTTGCGCTATTGAAGCTGTAGACAGAATGCTTAGAGATATTACTGATTGTAACTTGCCTTTCAGTGGGAAAGTGATAGTTTTTGGAGGAGATTTTCGACAAGTTCTTCCAGTGGTACCGAGAGGGAAAAAAGATGATGTAATGAAAGCTAGCTTGGTCTTTTCAGACCTATGGCCTTCCTATTTATGTTTACCATTGGTTGAGAATATGAGGGCAAAATTAGATCCTATGTTCTGCACTTACTTACTTAGAATTGGAAATGGAACAGAAGAAGAACATACTTGTAAGTGCATTATGCTTCCGAATAGTATAATTCTATCATTTGAAGATGAAATCACATCTTTAAAAATTTTGATACATCATGTTTTTCCAAATATACAGGCATATGTTGACAATTTACATAATATGATAAATAGAGTTATTCTTACACCTACTAATGAATGTGTTGATTATATTAACAAGATTTTACTCGAACAAACTCCTGGTGATTTTTCCACATACTATAGTTTTGATGAAGCAATTGACAAATCGGAACAAAGCTTGCACGAAGATTTCTTGAATACTTTGACACCAAATGGTATTCCACCACATGAATTGAAACTTAAGGTAAATTGTCCTGTAATGTTATTACGGAATATTAATCCTTCCGAAGGATTATGCAATGGAACACGCCTTACTTGTCGAAAATTTGAGAAAAACATAATTCTTGCTGAAATTACAACTGGTGAGTATTGTGGGAAATATGTTTTCTTACCAAGGATCCCTTTTATACCTCTTCAAAGTGATCGAAACTCAATTCAATTTAAGAGAACTCAATTTCCAATTAGACCGTGTTTTGCAATGACAATAAATAAAGCACAAGGTCTAACACTTGATTTTGTCGGTCTATATCTTCCAGAACCAGTTTTCTGCCATGGCCAGCTATATGTAGCATTATCAAGAGCAACAACGAGCACATCTCTAAAAGTTTTTTTGAAACCATCAAGCATGGACAACTCACATAAAACATGTACTAAAAATGTTGTGTACAAGGAAATTCTTTCGTTTATACATTCATATACCTAAAATGTTTGAACAGGTATATTTTTTATCTTCGAGAAATTTTTATAATATGTTCTCGTACAATAGTTTCCTCAATTTTAAATACATGAAAAATTATGTCGTTACTATTTTTTTCATTCTTTGCATTTGCTATAAAAAAAATTCACAGGTTTCATTATCGGGAATGAAAAGTTCTTTTTAATTCTTTGCTACATGTGTACAATGAAATCACTAATGACAGCTTCAATTACAACCTGCATTTGCAAAAGGTATGATTCAAATTTTTTAGTGTTAGTTTAATAGTTTGCCAGATCGATAACTAATTTACTTTAGTAAAATTTCAAAATAAAAAGTAATTTCTCTATTTTTAGAATATATTTACCCTTAAGAGTTTCACATTGTCACATAAATATTCTTCCATCAGTTAAAATGTGCTCTTATGCCAATTATTACAATGTTCAACTTTGTCAAAAAAAATAAAATTAGTATAATTATGGATTTTATGGAAACTCAATTTCATATTCCCTTATTATCAACTTCAAGTTGTTTCCCCTCATATATTTTACAGTCTTTCACATTTAAGATATATGTAATTAACACTATTTCTACTACCTCTTAAAAGAGGGGGTTTATATTACTGTTCATTTATATCACAACCGTTTACACCCACTGTTCCACAACCATTTTTTGTACAGTTCACATTTTTTTTTGAATAAATGAAACAGAATCTCCTTTCTTAACCCTAAACAAAACTCTAGCTTGCTTTCTCAAAACTCTTGCCCTTCTTCTCAAACTTTCAGATTTTGCAACCCCATGGCTAAAGGAGAGATCCATTTGAAGTACACTTGAAATACACTGTCTATGTTCCTGGCAATGGAAGGAGGCTTTTTCTATTATTCAACTTTTGTTTACGGTAAGGGCCTAGCTCTCTTCTTCTTCTTCTTTTTTTCTTTTCGAGTTAGCGGAGGAAGCTGATAATGAAGAGTATAGGACGACGATGGTCATTGTAGTAAATGGCAGAAGAGTCGAAGGCTGTCAAACTTATTTGATAAAGAAGCACATATTAATAACGAAAAAGAAGAGGAAGAACGTTGTAGCCAATAATTTTCTTTTTTAGTTTAGTTTTCGGAAACCTTTTGAGTTGTTGATGAGGATTTAATTCAATTATGTTGATTTGTTATGGTGTTCTAAATCTTGATTGATTCAACTAGATTTCTAATCCTTTTGATTTTCTTTTAATAATCTAATTGATGTCAATTAGTTTGTGAGATAGATTTGTTAAAAATTAGTTTCTCTATGAATATTATAAGTTCCCTAAATTTAAGTCTTAAATATAATTTGTCTGCCCTTTGTGCATCATACATTCTGATTCTTGGACAGTTTTATGCTACTGTAATTCTATCAATGGGGAGACTAATGCTTGATTTTCCTTTTGAAGCTCATGGTTTATTGAAATCATTTTGCTGCTTCTGCTTCTTGCTGGTTCCACTTGTACACTAACGGAATTGCACTTTAATTGCTTACAAATGATGTGTAAAATACGATTTATGGCTTTGTCATCAGCTTTTTATAATCTGATTTTTTGCTTTTATAATGAATTAGGCTAATACACTACTTTATGCAAGCTACTTAAAGCATTAGCTTAATTTCTCTAGGTGTGGTTGCAGGATTAAATGCTCAACATGGTGTTAATTTAAGCACACCTACGTCTTTTAGCAATCCTGTTGCTAGAGGTAATAATAGTATGGGCATGGGCTAGTTGTTCGCTCTAGCAGACCTTTCGCAATGGTTGATGAAATTACAAAAGGATCTTTAGCAGCAGCAGATGGCTTACAGCTTGGAAATCAAATTGTAAAATTTTGGAATATGAAAATAGGTGAGAACTTGGTACAGAAGCTTACTACTGAAGCTCAGATAAATCAGAGCCATGCAATGCTTGTGGTAGTTATGGGGCAAGGTGTTTTCATAAATTTGACCATAAAATCCAACTCTTGGCAATGTCATGACCTACTTGGTACATTACATTCTAATCATATTTTATATTTTTCCCTTTTGTTTAAACTATGTTTCAATTGGTCAATAAATCTCATTTATGCAAGTGAATCATGAAATGTTCAATTTCAACAAATCATCTTGAACTAAAAATATGCTAATGTTATATATTTGAATTCTGTTGATTTTATACAATAAGATCAATAATACATAAGTTTCTTTTAATTTCGATAGTCCAATAATATTCCTTGTTCTAATTAAGTTTTACATAGAGATGGTTTGATGCTCTTTTAGAATTGAATGAACATTTTATGCTTTCCCTTTACTTTGTGCAACGTTAGGGAATATTTGAGTGAATTTAACATTATTCTTCTTGATAGAATTTACAAAACTAGTGTGTGTGCATTAACGCTTTCCTATTTAATCATCTAACTTTGTTCGGTGAACAAAAAAATTTGTGAGCAACTATTTTTATTATATATACATTACATATTTCTTTATCAATGCATGAATTGATTTTATGGGAAACTTAATAAAAAAATTTTTACTAATTTTATTATTAATCTAAATTCTAACCAACAATGTTATTTTTTCAGAGTAGGATTACAGTCATCCTATATCTAAAGACGATTAATCTTACATGGTCGAAAATATATTCACTTTCAATGCTGATAAATATGCAAAGATGGAATTTGGATTGAATTATATGATGATATGTTTCCTTGCATTATGCTATGTTGTTATGTTTCTTAGTATATGATATTTTCAATTTTTATTAATCGAATGATGAACATATGAAAAGATAAATTTTCAAGATGCTTATTCTTTACATTCCTACTCTTTTAAAAAATGGGATCTTATGTCTACTGTTCATCTAGGAAGCATTTTAAGTGTTTTCCATCGTATCTCTAAATCCATCTGGCAAAGTAATTCTTATACTAAGGGTCTAATAATTTTTTTTATACGATATATATTCTTCTCTAGCCAAAGACAATCTGTTACCGAAAACTTTAATTCATAATTCCATCTTAAAAAAAAAACATTAGCTAGCCCTAATTTCTCTTCTTCGTCTGAATTGTTGAAATTAATTCGAAATAATCTATAGGAATTGAAACATTTGTAAGTATAATTCGTGTACGGCATTTCTCTTTGAAATGTTATGTAATTTCAATTTATTATTTGTAGAATATTAGACACAGTATTAGTGAAATTTAGTGATCGCTGGTTCAGTATGTGTGAAGATCAATTTGGCTAATTTTCGCCTTGCCTTGTCACTATTATATCTAATTCAACATTGACATTTTTTTACCTTTCTAGGTTTCTTCAGGTTAGAAATGACTTATATTCTTTGACAAATAAGAAGTTGATTATTGCAATAGATATTAAACCATACATATAAATTTTCTAAATATCTTCTAACTCTTTTCTATAATAGTTTGGACTGCTTTACGTTTCATATAATCTTCATGTCATGCTTGATGTTGTCGCAAACAAGGGATAAGATCTGCTATCTTCATTCGTTCATGTCTTCAGTTAATATAACTTTAGATAAGAAATTCAGTCAATTATATCAAATATGTACTTTTTGACTTTTTGCATCCTTTTGTCTATGTTATTTCAACTCTGGTCCTTCCTAAATGAATGCATTATGGCAATTAATGCATGAATGTTGGACGTCCTATATCTAATCTATTTATCGTCTTTTTTGTGGTAAGGTAAACCGACAATGAGAAGTTAGCTGATGATGAAGAGGAAACTAAGAGGAAGTACATCCATGGTGATGTATTCAAGTACCTGAAATACAAATTTTTGTTTATAATAAACGATGGTTCAACCTTAGTATCCTTTATTATATTTTCCAACGTCCTGGATTCGAAGTTTTCTATTTACTCTTTCACTTAATTAAAAACTAATATTTTTCATACAATTCATACATTTTTCGACCATAAATTGAATTTTCTTCTTACTAATGTAATAAGTGAACACAATAGTTTTTCAAAATACATAAATCCAACAGAAAATAAAGAAAAAAAGACAAACAACAACGATAGTAACATTTAACCTGATAACACCTATGATAATATAAGTTAAGCTCCCCACAAGTTCGTGAATAGATAAAATTACTTAATAAATAAAGTTACTTACTAAATGTATTATCCATGAAACACTCGTATTTGAAACATATGGATTAACAATCCTTCTTCCAATTTGTAAATCTAACATAATGTATTAAATTT